CAGGGTTCGAATCCGACCTGCGGCCCTTTGCTGCGTGTCATCCGCCCTCTCTGCCCCCCTTTCCTGTCTATCTTCAGCTGTCACTATCATAAAGGCAATAAAAGCCCCAAAAAATATATACTTTAAAAAAAAAAGTATGTAACATATGCATAAGCTCCCAAACTCACACAGCAGGCCTATTGCTTTGCCCACAGACAGAACAACAGCTTATTTGTGTTTTTCACAGTCTGTGTTGAACTTCACAGTCAACAGCCAACATCCAATAGTAGAAATATAGTCTCACATTACTGAGGTAACTGGGCCTGGTAACATGTATAAAAACAGAGTATATAGAGCTGCGTCCACTCTCTCATTCCACACTGCTTGCCACAATCATTTCACGACTCCCCTGAAATCATCTCTGACGCCCCAACCAACCTCCTCTGTGTCGTGTCCAGACTCTACAGACAGACCTCTGCCCCTATTCAATGACGTCCAGAACACAACCACGCTGTTGCTGAGCGATGATGGGTCCACCCTGTACGTTGGAGCGCGCAATGCCCTCGTCTCATTGGACGTCAGTCGGAGTGATGACATCAAGCTGAAGGGGAAGGTGAGCTGGAAACTCCCATGATGCTTTGATTTATAGAAGGTCTAAATTAATCAAGTTATTTATTCATCACAGACTGATGTCTGACTGTGTATCTGTCTGTGTGTGTGCCTGTCTGTGTGTCTGACTGTATATCTGTCTGTGTCTCTGTCTCTCTGTCTGTCTGTGTGTCTATCTGTCTGTGGTCCAGGTGGACTGGAGACCATCTGCCAGTGAAACAGAGAGATGTCAATATAAAGGGAAGAACGCACTGGTAATTACCAACATACCTTTGTCCTCACAGATGAACTGAACGATCTAAAGTTCTGTGCTGTGGGTGGGAATGTCGACCTGCTAAGAGAAAGCTATGTTAACAGATGATGTTGTTCACCTGTCTGTCTGTCTGTCTGACTGTCTGCAGGTCGACTGTCCAAACTTTGTGCGTGTCTTGCAGCCACTGAACTCGACCCATCTGTACGCCTGTGGCAGCTACGCCTACAGCCCCCATGATGCCTACATCGTAAGTGAACATTAACTCTAACAGGGTCACAATGTGTTTTTATTATTTTATCTGATAGACAGATTTTAACAGATTTTCTCCACTTCAGACTTGATTTTTATGATCCTACAGTTTCTTCTTCTCGTTTCCCTCAGGATGCAGAAAGCTTCTCCATTGTCCAACAAAACAGTGCCAAAGGTCGCTGTCCGTTCAACCCCTTTCAGAGGAACACCGCCCTCGCTGTCGGTCAGTCTTCCCTCTGCTGAGTCACAGCTGTGGCCGCAGAACGCATTTCGCATGGTTGGGCTCATCAGCAACGCAGTATCACTGTTAAATTTTTAATTTGCACTAAAACTTTAAAGCTAACAGCTGGTGGAAGAGTGAATATATGTGGCTACCATAGACTGCATACTTAAAAAGCGACTACCTAAGATTTTAAGTTTATTAATGACCAAAATACTGAACAACAACAAAGTAAACTGGACTTCAGTAAGTATAACAGTGTCCAAGGACCCTAACATGATCTTGAAGACTGATGTTGACTGACATGAATAATATGAGAACTCATTGACGTTATTGCTCCAGTGTGTTACGTCACTGTAATATAAATGTAATCTGTACTTTATAATCTGCTGAAAATAAGAATCATGTGTTTTCGTTACTTTAGAATGTTTTTATCTACAGAGGGAGTGGGTCCTCTTTTGGTGGAGTCCGCCATGTTGAACCACCATGTTTCTATAGTAGCCCAGAACGGTGAAACCAAACACTGGATCTAGATAGGGCCGGATTGCATTTTTTTTAACACTGTAGTTTTTTCCTTCGCACTTGGAAGGGGTGGGTGATGTGAAGGGAATTGGAATCTGCAATCTGACTTTATTGTTTAATTTTGAACTCTCCTTTTGAATCGCCCTCGCTTTATAAATCAAACCGCCGTAGCTCGTTTGTATGTGACTGAACTGAGGCTGTCAGTACACAAACACGACCTCAGCTGTTCTCTTTATCCGTGTGCAGACGGCGAGCTGTTCACCGCCACAACGTCCGACTTCAAAGGAGTTGAACCACAGATTTCTCGACACTTAAGCAGAGACGGTCGTCCAGATGTCGCCCAGGACTCGTCTGTCAGCTTACTGGAGGGTGAGTGACGCAGATTAATGCTGATGGTTTATAGACGATACTGAAGTTCCTCTTCTGCAGTTTGAGGATTTGCTGTCCCACAATGCTTTTTGTTTTAAACCGTTGGTGAGGCTGAGTAAGCAGTGTTAACAAAATGAGAGCAGTGTTGTGTTGTGGTGAGTCAAAGGGGGAGAAAACACACACATGTACTTTATTAAACAAGTAAAATGTGTCAATGTCAGCAACTTTTATAGAAAAAAACATTACAATACCAAAGCAATAATACAATTTTGCAACAACAATAAAACGTAAAGGGAGAAAGATTATGTAAAAACCACAGATTAAAGGCAATATCATTACTTATTAAAATCCAGATTTAAAAAATCAGTCTTTAATTTTACTTTTAAAAACACCACAGTTTTACATAAAAACAGACAGTGGTTGTTTTCTGGGACACATTTAAAGGAAAAGCACTGAAGGACCTCAGTGATCTGACTAGAACATGAAGTTAAAGAAGATCTCTGATGTACGGAGGAACACGGTCATTTAAAGCCTCGTAAACAAGTAAAAGTAATCCAGTAAAAAGGAAATTAAAGTAAAGCATTTATTCCCAGAGACTGGTTCGAGGGAGATATTCTTTGGGTCACAAATAGATGAAAAGAAAGATATTTCTTCCTCCTCCTAAATGCACTTATTTTACCTTATTTATAAAGTATTTAAAATGTGTACATTGTTTTACTGATGATGGAAAAACGAGATGTGAATGAATGATTTATTAGGTATTTATCAAAACACGTTTCACTTCAAAATGGCTGCTTGACTTGTTCTAGGAAATCGGACGTACTGCAGAAACAGCAATAAAAAGGCTCAGGAACTTCTTCTCACTGTGAACTCGTTTATTTTTAAAAAGTGGATCCCAAAAAACAAAGTTTGGGAAACTCTGATCTTAAGGACTAATAATAGTACAGACACAGAGAACAGTGCGCTCGCTCGCCCCAGGAGCGCTGACCCAAACTATGTTGGGTTCGGGTTTACCACAGGTCAGATCGGGTTTAACATTTTGGATCAGTGAAGACTGAAGCCTCTAGCTGGGGCCCCCCATGAGGGGACAGAAGATGTCAGGGTACAAAGCTATTTACATTTCCATCTTCCATCCTCTTCTCTGGGTTATTAGTTAGGAGTTAGGCTGCTGTTCAACATTCACCCCGTTACAGTTCAGAGTGGCATCAAAATGACTTTAAAATTACATTAAGAAGCTGATATTCAAAAGCAATTAAAACCTCATAATAACATACATTTTAAAACCTCTCATATTCTGACCAAACCACGCTCCAGTGAGGTTTCAAAAGCCAACACACCCCACTTCCTATTTTCTGTCCCCGGTGATTCATTTCCTCTTTGAGTAAAAAACCCCTCTGAATGTCTATGAGTACCTCACACTCTGTTTCAAGTGCCAGTCATGAGTTTTGACATGTTCTTGCTAACTGTTACGTGAGGGTTGCTAAAGTAAAATCTGATGGTATAATTAGTAGTTCAGTAGTCATTTGTAGTCAATAAGATACGGCATAGATATGAACCTTGGAATTATTTCTGTAATCTTTTACATGGTCACAGCTGAAACTTTCTCTTCTCCACTCAGCTGGAACTTAATCTGCTCTCAGATTTGTTTTCTCTTTGCTCAGACCACATGGCACAGCACCCTCAGCTTCTCCTGTCTTCACTTCCTGTATTTCAGAGCCAACTTTTGTCAGCTCATCGCTGGACCCGTCAGACAGGAAACTCTACTTCTTCTTTAGTGAAGTTGGGAAAGAGTTCAGCTTTGTGGACAAGCTGCAAATCGCGCGGGTGGCCCAAATCTGCAAGGTGAGCGTAAAGACAGCGAGGAGGCTGCAGAATATGGGCATAAAGATAACGTATTAAAGTTTGCTGTCACTGCATTACAGGACGACATTGGTGGAAAAAGGATTCTGCAGAAGAAGTGGACATCCTTTGCCAAAGCCCCTCTGCTCTGTCAGTCTCCTAAACAGCTTCCCTTCAACGTTCTGCAGGACATGTTCACCCTGCAGCCACCAGAGGGCAGCGACGCCTCAGAAACTCTGTTCTACGGCGTCTTCACTTCCCAGTGGTAGGAAGACTGAATGGATTTCATCGCAGTCATGATTTTACACAATAATAGTGAATAAATAGTTTGCAGACGACGTCACTGTGTCTCTGCGTTCCAGTCGGCGAACCGCAGATGGACGACAGGAAGTGATTTACTTAGTTCAGATCCGAATTAACTTGTTAAAACACCAAAGTCACACAATAACACAAACCCACTAACCGATGGAGGCAGCGGTAGAGCGGTAGAGTTCTGCTGTCAAATGTATGTTTCATGAAAGGAGCCTGGTGAGAGAGAGACATATTAAGACTTCAGTCAGAATATGTTTAAACTGACACATTAAGAGACTAACAGACTTCTGTAAGATATAATATTTGTGTGTGTTAATGAATATGTTCTCTTTGTTGCTGCACAAATACTTTGAAAATCAACAGGCCGACTCTAAGACTTTTCCACCAAATCTGACTCTATAAACATTCACAACAAATGCTCTTCTTGATCGAAGTTTTTCTGACTGGACCAAAAACTACCACAGTCAACAATGTACCGTCCTGGAGCCTCTAGTTGGGCTTAATGGTCGTCTCCATGTTGGTGTTTTGTTTAGCAGCCAGCGGAGGTCACGTACTGCAAGTTCAGGTCACGTACTGCGAGTTGAGCTGCTCTCATTGGCTGCTTTGGTTTGGAAACAATGGCGGCTTGCCTGCTCACACAAGATCTGGTATTCCAGTTAAACAGTACAATGTGTTTGTGAACAGATTC